GATAGATAAGTAAGTGAAGAATGGAAGATAAAGAAATAAGGAAGTAAAGAAGAACTGAATATAAAAATAAAGGAAGGCTCGAACTGATTCCAAGAGACCGGTATAGGAGACCGGCTCGAGGAACAATGAGCGGTCGGAGTCCAGGCACTGCCTCGAGCGCTCCCACCACCCGCCTGCTCCTACTCGCCGAGTCCTGCGCGACGAATTTGCGCGCACGCTATTTTGCGCATCTTCCAGTACTTCTAAATATGCCTGGCCAGAATTTCCAATTTAGTTTCCGGTTTAGTTAATACTGATCTAAAGGAATCGACCAATCTTGAATTGACCAAGTGTGTTCGAAAACTTCCCGACGGTTACTCATCTCTGTATATGAAACTTAAATCATAAACTGTACTTTAATGAAAATGTAAATGACGGGATTCTAGTAAGTTTATACTTCTAATAAAGTATATTTTGTTGACGGATAACTGACGAATTGTACACAATGTTGGAAAAAACTGCATCTCCCGAAAATCAATTGTCTAAAGAAGATTATTTAATATTAAGGGCTAAGGAAGCATTAGCTACTGATGTCTATGCTGCCAAATCTTGGTTAATAACAGCAAAGTCTTTATTTCCACACAGTGTTAAAGTTCAGGTATGGTTATTTTCGGTATATTACCTTGTTCAGTTAATCTCAAAGAGATGTCTATTAGATTGACTATTTTTAGTTTGAGGCATATCGAATTGAGAAGTTGTCAAAGAATGTCAAGGAAGCAGCAAAGTGTTTCAGTGAAATGTATGTATTTAAATGGCACATTGAAATACTTCTAAAGATATGAATAATCATTGACGTATGAAACAGATTTCAGAATTTCCCTGACGATCGTGATATATGGAAAGAAATTGAAACGATGATAGCATGTCTACGTACAGAACAATCTGAACCAGAGAGTGAACTACTTTGTCAAATGTTTAAACATCTTCCCAATGATCTTCAACATAGATTACTGATAATGACTGCTGACCACAGCGAAGATACTATGGAACACTGCAAACTTTTACTCTTACTGCTCCGTAGATTTCCACAAACAATTGCTACACATGGTGTAAGAAATTTTACGAGAATTGTATAGATATATGTATAGATATAATTTTTTTTTATTTTTTAGCCACGTTTAGTAGAAACTCTTTTAACTGCTGAAAAGCACAGTCATCCAGGACACACAGTAAACGGTTTTAGAAGATTATTGGCTTGCGATGCACTTCCTCTCTTGGGAGCTGCACCAGTGGAACTAAATCGTCGTTCAAGCTTAAGACTTCTCATAAAAGCAATAGAATTCTATTTGGCATATATACAACAGCCACCAGATACACAAATACAACAACCTTGGGATAGATTGTTTCAAGTTGTGGAATTAATAGGCAGCAAATTAGGGTGGGAATTATGTGGACTCTTTGCAACACCATGGAACCGTGAAGCTTATACTGAAAGTCTACAGCAATATGCAATTACAAATGCCACTGGTATGTGTGACGAACTAGTAATACGCCAATTGCTTATTTCAGCAATAGTTGTACTGCTAAGGATACTAAATGAACACTCGACATTGATCAACAGTGGTGAAGTTACATATTGCCTTGTAGAGGCCTTTGGAGAACCACCAGTCCCAGTTGCAGGTAATAATATACATTATAAGATACTCTTACACTTAAAAAAGTGTCTGTTACAATATATCATTTCAATAGTAGAACCAAAGATAAAAAAACGCAAGAGGGAAGATGTGCCACCTTTGATGATAACCAATGATGCTGAATATAATGGAAATGGTATATCATTAGCAGTAAAATTATGGGACATTTTACACAGTACAGAGTATTTACAAAGGGACACAGCCAAGCTTATTCAACAAATGCGACTCGATAGTTGGCTTAATCATTTTCTAACTGATCTAACCATGTACAAAGGTTTACATCATGAAGCACTAGGGAGATTATCCCAAGAAGGTACTAATCTCACAACTCACTTGAGACTAGCAAGCACTTGCTTTTTCCTCAAAGATTACAAGGTAACACAATAAATTTAAGTATATTTAATTTTACTTCATTATAATCTTCTATTTATCAGGCTATGCTAGAGTATATTGTACTGATAGCAAGTGTACTACCAACGACTCGTGGCAAACTGTCTAAAATCTTAACTGTCTCAGCAACAAGACATTTGCATTATCTACCACTCGCAAGGTATCCCATTCTACAATACTGCTGCAGATTATTGCTGGCAGCAATAAAGGTACAGTTATTATATACAATCAAATAAATAAAATATTCTAACGTATTTATTATATTTCTATAGGAGAATTTCTCGTTGCCTGGTAGTGCAGCGGATTTAGCCTTAGGCCATGCGTTAGTATTAATGCAAATGGATTGGCCACAGGAAGGAAACACTTTGTGCACTATCACAGAACGTATTATCAGTCGGGGAGCGTTTAGCTATCCCTTATTTCAAGCATATATAATTTGTGTGGATATTCTTGAAGAACTGACATACCTGTGGACGGAACATGGCGGCGGTGTTTCTTTGGATATCGCTACTGGTTCCGGACTTTTGCAAAGTAGTTATCAATGATTTTAGTAATTCGAATAACATCTAATTTGCATTGACTGTATCCCTGTGTTCCATCAGATCGTCGTATCACTACACGTGGAGCTGATAAGGGTGTTCGTGAAGAAGTCAAACAAGCAATGAGACGTCAGGCAGCACGCGATGGTGTTGATCCGATTGACGAATTAATTCAGAGATTTATTCTGAATGAAAAAGCGGCTATTTTACACAGTCTGATAGTTCAATGAGTGACACAAGTAAAAAATATTTTTTATGAAGGAGCCACACAGAGATATAGACTAGACACGAGTGTGAGTAAAGCACTATATATTTTACAAATCTCATATTTATTATTATGATTTCAACGAAGAGATTGTAAAGTATTTGTTATACATTTAATAAAAATTATATGGTATATCCATAGAAGTGTCCGCTTCCGGTTCGTTTTTCAAAATTCAATTTTAATTTCCTATTTACACGAGTGGCTTATGAAAGCTTCTTCTATTTCTGTAATTGCATCTTTTTCTGTCTTCCCTTACGATACCTCCTGTTCATCGATTATGCGTATATGTATTTATAATTTTTTGTACACCTTGCAATATTCCATCAGAAACGCAACGTGATTGCTACTAGTTTTCCTTTTGTTTCATGCACAGAAATCAATAGGTACTACGCGGATGTCCAAGACATTGACAAAGCGACTACTACTGGTCGTACAAAAATTAGTAGTTGATTGATAAGATCTCAAAATATCCCAATACTATATTCGAAATGCTTTTTGTGTACTATGTAAATCGCTTGAATCGCGTGAGCGATAGAAACTTGAGCTCTCATGCGTTACACATTCTACCTAATGTAAACTCCTAACTGTAGTGCACTCTGCAGTAATACTTTAATACCAGGCATGAATGAAGCGATTTGACTGAAATCTGGTCCAGATACAAGTTGCGTATGCAGATTCAATCCACCTGTATAATTTCCAGTTTGTATCATTTGAGATATCTGATGAAGTCCTTCTAAAGTACTTTGAGATAGCTGTAAAAAATAATAATTAAAATTCTGTTGTTCCATGGAAAGATAAATTTATAAATTGATTTACCTTATTTTCCCTAAGACAATCGTAAAGAACCTCGAGCTTTCTGGTAACATCGTCTATCTTTCTTTTAATTTGCTTAAAAAAAAATTTTTTACATCATTTTATTGAATCTGCTGTTTTTTTAAATAATGAATTCTAAACTTTGGAGAATTTATTTACCGGATTTTGAGCATTTTCATAACACTGTGCTTTTAGTTCATCCAGTACTGTCTTCAAGTGGATGTGCTCGTCTGGGATTGGTGCTTTTGGTTTCTCGGGTTCTGGTGCTCGTACGATTTGAGCTGGTTGTACCGGTTGCATGGGTTGTAGTTGTTCTATGGGTTTGTTGTAGGCAGCTGGAGAATTGGAAATGATTTGACCGTACTGTTGCGGCGAATTGTATGACATTTGAGAGTCCTGATAATAAGCTTCCTGTGGCATCATCTAGAAACAACAAAAATGGCATTAAACAATAATTTAATGTATGGAAAATTCATTTGGGTATAAAATTCACAACTTACATTAACTTCGGGTTGAGGTGCTGCCCCCAATAGAGGATGAAAAATTGCATTTTGTGGCTGGAATTCGGTCTTTGCCTAGAAAATTAATATAATTATTTAACCTATGTTAAAAGAGTGTTTTTTTCTTCGTTTTCTGATCAAAACTTATGATTCAGATAATTGTATCTGTAAAAAGTTTAGGCATGAATTTATAACATGTAGCATTGTCATATCGTCACACGGCACGCATGAATAATGATATTATTGTGATGTCAAGGGATTTATGACAATTCATTATTACACAATAATTTGGCCAGACTGTCCTTCCGGTCTATGACAAAAGTTATTGTGCAAACATACAATAATATCTATGACATATATAGTATTTTTTGTAATCAATTATCAAGAGACACCGGAACTCTCTAACACATTATAGGATGGCACTCTGAATAATGGAAATCGACTACCTTTATACTAATATTCTTCGAATGCTTTTCTTTCCACTTTCTGCTACCAGCATGTTCGGCTGACATTTCATTTTTGTTGCACAATGCCAGTACAGGCTGTATCGTATATATAAAGTATCAGTAACTTGAAAATAATATTGTCTGATCATCTAGTGAAAAAGTTGTACAGTGATGCTTAGACTAATTTACACACGAATAAAGATATATTTACCTGTGCTCTGCTGCACTTTCCAACAGGTGGATCATTCCATCCGGATGGTTGAGAAGTTGGTTGATACACATCATCATTCCCATAGTTTTGTTGCTGTGACTGTGTTTGTGCCAATGGTTGAGACATGACAGGATTGTACATCTGATTCTGTGTAGAATTTGTCATCGATGTCATGATATTAGGTTGAACCGGTTTTGTAAGTTCTGATGCTGCTGGACTGAACATAGTATTTTGCGGCTGACCAGGATAGGAGGAACTTGCAGACATAGGCGATTGATAAGAAGCTTGTACTGGGAAGCCAGGAACTGGTGAAACTTGCTGGGAATTGTACAAATGTGATTGCTGAGAGAACGTTGATTGAACGCCGTATGCTGGGCTAGATTTAACGGACGGATCAAGGATGTATTTCGATCTTGACTGCGGTCCAACGCTGGATGGTCTTGAGCCACTCAAACTTGATCCAGATGCTGCAGTTGGTGGCGGTAGAGCTGGTTGAGCAGCTGGTATTTGTCCATAATTAGATGAAGGATATTGATCTGAATATGCTGGTTGTAATGGTTGAACAGGTTTCATTCCATATGGTTCTGGTTTTGGAGAGTTATATTGATTCATGGGATTGTACGGTTGTTTCGTTGGTGCTGTATTCCAGTTTGAAGCTGGCGTTGTCGGTAGTGGATTGTAAGGATTTGGCAGTGCTTGTTGTGGCTTTCTTGATTGATCATAATAATTTTGAGTAATTGATCCTCTGGGCAATACTCGTTGCGGTTCTTCCTGAATGTAACCTAATGCTCTGCAGAGACGATCTTTTAATGCAACTATTTTTTCTTCTTGACTGTTTTCCAAATAATTTAGAGCAGCCTCCAGATTTCCTTCAGCTGCTAACATTTCAGCGTATTGTGACAATGTTGTTGCTATGTTTCCTTCTATTCTTATCTCCCTTATACCTTGGAGCTCCAGTGCTTTTTGCATTATTGTTACTAACTCTACATTTTCTTGAATACTCCCCTTAGACGCTTCTATTGTTTTATTAAGATTGCCTGAACAGATGTAGCAAATTTGTGCTTGCCTTTTCAGATTAGGATTGTCGCTAGATGCTAGTCGGTCACCCAGCATGTCTGAAATCCAAAAAATATTGTTTTTAATAAAAATGGAACGTTAAATGATAATAGTTATTAATTCGTTATCATTTACCACAAAGCGCAGAACGTTCCTCCGCATTGGAATGCGTGAAGACACCGACCAGTGCTTCTTTCCAGCAATTAATGTCACAATTCTTAACTATGTCAGCCCAATCCTCGCTCACTAGTGAATTAATTAAAGAATTGAGAGCACCAGAGTGCTCCGAAAAGTACCTATATTGCGTCCGGGCAAGTAACTCTGGTCCTCCAGTCATAGAAAGAATTACGGCATCCGCATATCTCTTACTCGAGAAACATAAAGATACAGCTGCTTCAATATTGCCCAATAGAATCGCTTGCGTAATAAGTCCATCCTCATCTATAATGTCATAAAGAAATAAATAACTGATCTGTCAGAGACAATTTTAAAAAAATATGACAAATACCATCCGAAGTGTTAATTTTAAAACTGTGTTCTGTGAGCTTCGCAGGCGCAGGAGATTTCCTGTTATGTTCTTGTTGTGCAATGGCGTCGAACGCTGCGCTTCCGTCTAGAATATTTCCATTTGGGACCTAGTATCAAAAAGAAATACGGTTGTTCTCTTATCTAATCATCCGCCTCCTTTGTCAAATGACTAATTAGTTAATATTTGTTAGGTACTAACGCTATCTAATTTAGCCAGTCCATCCGTAATGGTGTCGACGTCCTGCTGAGGAACGTATTGATTCAGCTTATTTGTCATTGCTTCAGGATCATAACCCAGAAGTTCTAGTAGTTCCCTAGTGACGTTTCCACTAAAATAAGCACCCACGCAGTTCCATACTCTTCTGTCATGCTCATCAGTTGCGTTATCAGCTTTGCCTTTGCAATAGTCATTATATTGCTCGTTTTTCAGCGCAGTTTCCAACTCATTGGAACGCTGAATCAGATCTGGGTCTGTGATAACTTGGGAAATGAATACTTTCCTGTTTGAATTAGCAGGCAGATTTGGGTCAGCTGGTTCGTTTTCGAATATCGTCAGTTTGCCACCAAACTGTGGAAGCGTAAAATGGTTTAAATAAAAAATGCATCACATCTATTTTGACATATTGCCATATACATACTCCAAAGGATGCTCCGAATGGTCTCTTCAACCATTTTGGTGCTTTCTTTAATAGTACTGTAGGTTCCTGGTGCACTGCTGGTGGTGCTTGAGAAAATGGATCCATTCCTGGGAAGGAGTCAACTATTTTTTGAGACGTTTCGACGGAAGTTTGTTGTTGGCCTCCTAATAAGGAGTAGACAACTGCGTGGCCGTCGAAACTTGTGCCGACGATTAGACCAGGATGACGTGGGCACCAAGATACGTCAAAGTTCCATTGATTTGTTTGCGCCAGTTCGCATATTACTTCGCCATTCTGTGTATAGTGCAAATCATACGTGATAACGCTGACACAAACGCTTTTGGGTAATCTAATACGGGTGGTATTGTGCATTTTTACTTACTGGTGCATCAGAATTTGGATTCCAGCATAATATCCTGTTGTCCTTGCCACAACTGAGAAGCAGATCAGGATCATGTGGGTTCCAAGCTATTGAGAGAACTCCTCGCTGATGACTCTGTAATGTTTTCAGTGGTGAAGTTGCAAATCTTAAATCCCATAATTCAATAACTGGCGACTGATCATCTTCTGACGCCAGACACAATTGTGTTGCTACTTCTGGATGCCACTGTACAACTTTCCAGCGTACCTGAAATGAGTGAAGTTATATTAACGATGTTTAGGACAATATATTAATTTTTTGTTAAAAACATATTACCCTGGAATTAGCATCAGTGAGCTTGATTATTGGTTCATTTTTTCTTAGATCCCAAATAACGCAACGCTGTGGGAATGTGGAGGCTAGGATATGCTGAACTATAAAAAAAATATTTTTTATATTGTTTTTTGGAGATTCTATATGCTTCGTCTATACCTTGTTTGTTCCATGCTATATGTTGTACGTCTTCTAAGGGTTGACTTTTCGATCCTGGTGTCATCGGAGTGCTCGTATTCACAACATCCCATATATAAATTTCACTCTCTGTTGCTCCTGTGGCTAGCAGGTTTGTTTGGAAAGGATTAAAATCCATAGCCCTAACTGGGCCTGTATGTCTATCTGGGCTACTTATTAGGCAGTTACTATCATTGGCAAGGAGTTTGGCAGCAGAATAAATCTTTATTATCCCATAATCACAGCCTCCAACGATCATACCTGCTGCATTCTGCCCATAAGAACCCCATATGATTTTGTGAAACCTGAAATCCAAATGATTTTATGAAATTTACATGAACACTTTTAATTTTACATATCCTCTAAATATGACATAAAATCATTCTCAACCTGTGCTCACTAGGGATGCTGGCTTTGAGTTCCATTTCTCTTCCTGGTTGCCGCAATCCAAGTTCATAAATATCTAAACTAGCGGAAGTACTAAAGCTAGCATCCAGCTGTTGCGCAGCAGTCCCAGCAGCCAATAATATGGGATGCTGTGCCTGTGGAGACCATGCCACATTCACAGTCTTTAACAACTCCTTTACCTTCATCTTGACAACTGGAATAGAAAGCCTGAATTGAATATAAATATAAATCTTAAAAAAAGTAATGTTCAATAATTCAAATATCACAAAAATTATCATCACACTCGACAAAGTATGTTAACAAATCAGTAAAGCTGTTCCACATCATGACAGTCATTGACCTTAATAGTTTGTTCCAGATTGATATAAGATCAGAAGAAAGATATTATAAAAATCAATAAAATGCATATACATGATAAGATTAACGTTCTTGATTTTAAGAATTACATAATTAAAAAAAATGCACGCAATACTGATTAGATGAAGGTTCACCGACCTAACGTCAGCAGTAACAATGAGCAGAGTTGAATATTGAATGAAATCGCAACAATGTTCTACGATTTCTCGGTATGATAGATTGATACTGTGACTCACCTTTATGTATTTGAAAACCACAAAACAATTAAAACTTATAATGCAATTTGTAATGACACATATACCGCATCAACCCGTCAACTCTTCCAACGTGGCGAGCTGCATGCAGCGGTGAGTGCTGACATCTTCGCCCGTCATTCACTCCAACTCAAGCAGCGTTTCCATAAACAGTAGCTGGTTAAAGAGAACATTCTATTGGTTGTGAGCCAGTTAGTATATTTATGCGCCAATCAAACGTTCTCTATCACCAGCTTGATGTTGGTCTTGACCAGTTGGTACTTTGTGTAGCAAACAGCGCCTTCACTTTTACCAATTTCTCTCATGCTGTCATCTACGATAAAATGTAGTAACTGTAAAACACGACTTAGAGGATAATAGCACTCCTTAATCAACATTATATAAAACTAAAAAGTTTGTTACTCCAAATTTTCTAATTAATAATATCATAGTCAGTGTTCAATCAATAATATTATAAAGAAACGGAGTTGCATCATCATATATTATTTCAGAAGCAAAAAATTAAAAATTTTTAGACTCACCAATTTTTCTCCTATTGTACTCATATATTTTTAAAATCATCTTCATCAATTATATCCAGTAAAATATACTATCAAATATACAAACATTAGTAATTGGAATTATTGATTATTCATTCATTTTACCAATAGTAACATACACAGAAATATATTTAACCATAATCGATTGAAATCATATAAGCACCTCCATATTTGTGGATCCACAATCATCCAAAATGAATGCGCTAGAAGGGTTCATGGCTAATTAATCCTATAGAGAATCTCGATGCAATCATGCTTCCTGCTACCTTGGAGAACCTGCTTCTCCCTTCTTATAGCTGTATAAGAGTATAAAAGGGTGACGTCATTCGAGTGAAACAAGTGTGCGGCAGCCATTCCATTCGTGTCCGTCAGTCGGACAAGGCAGGATCGCACCGAACGATCTACGGTTCTCGATCGCGCTGTGAGCGACAGAATATTTTTATCCATATTCATCCAGTGGCTAGTCGACGTGCCAGACGACGCTTCGTCGTCACGGCGTCGGTATTTATTGATACAGGACGAAGACCGTGAAATGTTCACCGTTAACGAAGAGGATGGATCCTTGATGAAATTGACAAACCCAAAGGATGGTCAAACAGGTCTGTATTCTCTATTATTGTAGTGGGTGAAAGGGAATTTTTTGCGTCATAAAAAGTACACTGTATATATTATGGAAAGATAATTGTAGTATTAATTATGATTAGTTGAAGGTTCTCCAATATATTGATACAGTAGCTTCATGCTTTTGAATTAAGTAATTATTGAATGAAAGTAATACTAAGATTCGTTATTTTTTAATTCTAAGCTTGCATCATTTATTTTAATTAATGTTTACGAAAAGACGATGTATTTTAATGGGATTTTTTTGCTTACAAAGAAACCAGGAATAAGTGCTTGTGTCGCAGTGGTGACCCGACCCGAGGATGATGAGAAACGTCAGATAACGAAAATCAAGACGACCAATTAACGGACGTCGCTGATAAACTTGACAAAAATTTAGTCGATTTGATTCGAGACTTAAGAAGACACGAAAGAAATTTCATAAGAACTGAAAGCGATTCATCGAGAGATGCTGACTACGTATTAAATTCTTTTTTTAAAATGTGGCCACGGTTCAGAAAATTATGTCGAGTATGGACGATCATCTTTGCGATCGCCATTTTAATCGGTATATTATTAATCTGGCCGCGAAGCAAAAGCAATGGTACAGATTATCGACAAGATTATGTTTCATTACGGTAAGTCAAATTTTGAATTCTCTATCGAACGATTGCATTAAGAAAGGTAAAGTAAAATAAAAATCGAGGATTTTAACCGCACTCGTACAAAGGATCGCCTGGCACTAAAGAATTTGTCAGTAATGGCGGGGTAGAATAAAAGACAAAATAAAATATATGTAAGTAGCCAGAAACTCGTGTTGCCAACTGCTGACTTTACCTTTCTGGGTGGCAGACAAAAGAATTCAGGTAACGCGACAAAGAAAAGCAGTCTGCTACCTGGCCACTGATGCAAGCAGGTGCATCTTGTAATAAAAGGAAGTTCTCGTTTGTGGCAGAACTGCATTTCCGTTATTTGAATATTGATAAAGATTCTACAAAATTATCTTTGTTTTTTTTCTCGTTTCAGCTTATTAGATAATCAAAAGGATTACATAGATCGTAGAGGAATTCACGTAGTGGTTGGACATTATATTGGAAATTCTTTGGATCCGTTAAAATCGCCCAACATTACTAAAGGTATATAATTTAATCTTTTTTTTCACAATTCCAGTAATTTCACATATTTGTGGCTTCAATGCATTTTCTTGCCGACAGATGTTATTAACAGGAACATGTTCAGCCCTCGACCGTATGAGGGTAAAAACGGAGAACCGGTTGTGATACCGCCTAAAGATTTACTGGTGATGCAGCAGCTATTTCAAATCAACAGATTTAATCTCATGGCCAGCGATCGGATACCACTGAACAGATCTCTACCGGACGTCCGGAAGAAGAAGTGTGTGGTATTTCAGATAATATTTGTAGCTCCAATGGTCATGGTATAAAATCCAAAATTGGTAAAATTTCCTAAGGTATTTATTGCGAAATTTTTTTTTTCTTTCAGATGCATATTGCGATATGCAAATTTAGATAAATTACCAAAAACTTCAGTTATCATAGTTTTTCACAACGAAGCCTGGAGCACGCTTTTGAGAACTGTTCACAGTGTAATCATCAGATCGCCCAAGTATTTATTAGAAGAAATCATTCTGGTCGATGACAACAGTGACAGAGGTAAAAAAGTGGGATAAATAAAAATAGAATGAATTAATACGATTTTGTGTTTTGTAGAATTTTTGAAAAAGTCCCTGGACGAACACGTTAAACAATTGGAAGTACCTACAAGAGTTTTGCGTTCACACAAAAGAATTGGATTGGTCAATGCAAGACTTTTAGGAGCCAATGATGCCAAAGGCGAGGTTCTCACCTTTTTAGACGCTCATTGCGAGTGTACAGCTGGTAAGTGTATAAAAAGCTATGAAACATTTTTGAATTAGCAAAACTTTATCATTAGGATGGCTGGAGCCGTTGTTGGAGGCTGTTGCGAAAAATCGGACAAGAGTAGTCTCACCAGTCATTGACATTATAAACGATGACACTTTTAGTTATACCAGGTAAATGTTACATATAAGGTGATGAATATTCGTTGGATCATTTGCAAATTTCTTGGTACACTTTCAAAAGCATAATGCTTGTTACCCAATCCCACTTTTACTATTCTATTTGAGCTGTTGCCGCCTTAGGCAATTTAGAGCGTTCTCGTACAGGTCAGACAAGTGTCAATTGACCTCTCACGTGACCAAGATATTAATTATGAAGTCGGAGTACGTGAATTGCTCAAGTATGGTAGAAGATTCACATATCTTGCGAAATTCGAATGGTCCAACGAGCGTCTGGAATGATGATGATGGCATCCTGAATCAAATTATATGTTCCAACTGTATAGATCCTTCGAGTTACATTGGGGAGCATTCAACTGGGATCTTCACTTTCGGTGGTTGACCTTAAATGGCCAGTTGCTCAAACAACGTCGTGAGAGTATTGTGGATCCGTTCAAGACACCAGCAATGGCCGGCGGCCTTTTTTCCATGGACCGGAAATACTTCTTTGAACTGGGCAGCTACGACGATCAGATGCAAATTTGGGGTGGTGAAAACCTTGAATTGTCTTTTCGCGTTTGGCAATGTGGCGGAAGCGTCGAGATTGCTCCTTGCTCTCACGTTGGTCATCTATTTCGAAAATCATCACCCTATACGTTTCCGGGTGGCGTCGGTGACATCCTGTACTCGAATCTCGCGCGTGTTGCTCTCGTCTGGATGGATGACTGGGCTGAATTTTATTTTAAGTTTAATCCTGGTAAGATTTACTAGTAGTTATTATTTCTTCTGTACTTTTATTCAGCTTTATTACACATTTTTTTTTTATTGATTTAGAAGCCGCCAGGCTGAGGGATAAGCAGCAGATTAGATCTAGGTTAGCGCTGCGTGACAAATTGCAGTGCAAAAGTTTTGAATGGTACCTGGACAATGTGTGGCCTGAACATTTTTTCCCCAAAGATGACCGTTTTTTTGGAAAGGTCAGAATTTTGGCATAATGGACTCTTAAAAAGCTAATACTTATGGCTTACTTATTTTATTCCTTTAGATTGTCAATGTGTTTTCTGAAAAATGTCTTACGATGCCCATGGCTAAGGGATCTTTTCCCCAACCCTCAGGATACGCTGTCCTGGAATCTTGCATTTCACCCCCTAATCTGGGTCAAATGTTTGTCATGACAAAGGACAACATTGTGATGACCGATGAAAGCGTTTGTCTCGATGCACCAGAACGGGATACACGTCATGAGAGACCAAAAGTCAAAATGATGGCCTGTAGTGGATTGCAGAGACAGAAGTGGGAATATGACAAAGACGTAAATAAAATTTATTTATAACTCTTCAATTTAATTTATGAAGCCACTGACAAATATTTATATAATACTCTCTGTGTTATTCTAGACAAGAATAATGAAACACGTGAGTTCCGGTATGTGTCTCGAAGCATCTTCAAATAGAGAAGAAGGTCCTGTAATAGCAGCATGCAACAAAAACGTTGAACAACAATGGAGACTGGAAAAGGTTCCTTGGAAATAAAATAATCTCCGTATCTTTTCTATTTATGTCTGACATGCCATGTTTTCATATCATTATTCGTTGTTTTTTTTTTTTTAATATCAAATTCAAATCTTCATTGTGAAGTTGTCAGCGTATAGATAAGGTACGTTCCGTCGAGATATGCTTTAATTGTTATGTTCTACAAAAGTATAGTTTTCTACGATTACTCGATAGAAAAATAATCCATGCTAAAGTGTTGAACTAAAGACTGAATGTAGATAGGAGCAACATAAACGTCTATATTACACAAGGAGTTTGCGTTAGACGAAATGTTATGAATATTTCAACGTGAAGATAGACTCGAAAAATTTGTGACAAATAGAAAAAAAAAATGCCAAGACAATAATACATCGCATTGCAAGAAGATTGTATGCATCTTATTAAATTATCTGTACCTATTATAATTGTTGTATATGCAAATGACTGGCAATGGATATGTACAGTCTGACGAGAAATTGTTGCGTTCACAGTGAAACTGTAATTATTTGAAATAATAGTAGCAAATTTTTTATTCCAATTTTTCATAGTCATTCCTAACCATAGATTATTTCCCATACGTGTAAGGTAATTATGAATTCCCATAACTGCATTTTATTTAAAGTAAAACTGGCAAAACGAATGATAATAGCTTTAAACACTCCCAGTGGTAGTTAAAGGTCATTAAAATCCAAGTCATTAAAAGATTCAGTGCCACGATCGCCTGGAGATTCATATAAGTTAAGCTATATAAAAATGAAGAGAAAACAGATAAAAACCGCGAAGAATCGACCCAACGAGTCCATAATCTCTTCCGTGACTGTACAAAGGCCGTGCATAATGTTCCTAGTAAGTCAAGAAAAAGACCAGGCAAAGAACAAAAAAATATACAACAAGAGCAACTCGTGTTCACGATTAACAGCAGTTTCTCCCAAAATCCATGCAAGTTTACCGAGTCCTGAAAACCCCTAATAAAGCAACTAAGAAGAAAAAGGAAGAGTCAAAGAATCCACAACAAAAACAAGGATCGAACTAAACAAAAAAATGGATTCAGCAATCTAATAGGGTTCTCATTATATAGCGTAAAAATGCAACACACCAGACTTATTTCATTAACCTGCCAAGGATTTCAGCTTTTTTTATGCATACCCGACATGGCAGGCAGATATCAGCTCGAAGGTTAGCAACGATCTTATTTCCTAGTTTAACAATGCCGACTGCATTAGTCAAAAATTTCCCTAATTTCGTAAGATACCGTTCCTCAAAACATTTATACCACACTAACCTTACGTCGCGATCAAAAGATCGGACAGTTTGTTTTGAAAAAAATAAAATAAAAAATAACATCCCCAGAATTCAACAGCCAGGAAATCTAGTCTCTTGCCATAATTTTTCTAACCGTGTCTAACTGGTAGTTAGATATACTATATATATGTACCATCTATATAACTTATATATATACATACCTGCGTTTACTACCTTAGGCAAGTTGCATCTTACCTGGCACAGTTTACGTATCTGGGTCAAAGTCACGTCCTCCAGGAGGCCAAGAAAGCACTTAGCCAACTCGTATCCCAGTGGCGGACCGCTCACCGCGTTCAGACCTCCAGCAGCCAACTTTGGCCGAGATGAGCAACTCTTTATTTATGGAAGCGTATCGTTAACGTTGCTGGTAATTATGACTATACGTTGCTTTGTATCTGACAATATCTTATACCCGAGTGCTATATATGTATATACGTAGTTTGAACTTTGTCAAGCTATGGCTTAACTGTCATAGTTAGGTTAGGTTAGGTTATTATCTGACTAACTGAGTGAGTCCGTAACTTACTGACTGACTGAGTGACTGACTTGGACTGTTGGTGACTTTCTGCGATTTCTGTACGTGGTCACGTCTTGCGTGAATCTCGTCCACATATGAGCGGTCCACCTGTTCCGGTTCTCATACACCTATGACCCTGCCGGACGAGTCCTTTCCCACATTAATTACACGCTTGGAGGTTTAAGTTTTGTGAAAACTCGAATAACTCGCAACGGGAGGAGCGTTTCTTCTCTTTGCTTCGCTTCCGATTTCTACTTGGTTGCATTTGTTTTGAGGAATGTTAACATCTCGTGATATTTTTGTTCTTGTTTTTGTTGCTTCTCCTGTTGGCAGCCGTGGTGAAGGGAGAGAAAGTTATGGAATATTTTTCCTGGTTCACTTATACGGGATGGGTTATGTTGCATTGAGACGGATTGTTTAAAACGAATAATTTTTTCTTCTATTTCTAGGGAATATTACATATCAACATATATACAGTCACCACTATGCTACACAACATGTGACTACGTAGCTACAATTGTTATACGGAAGATAGAGCGATGAACGATCGTGATAATAAAATGCGAAAATCAAAGAAAATTTTTTTTCAATTTTTCTTTTCGATACAAAATTTTTTCACCAAATAAACCGCGCGCTATTTTTTTTTAACTTCAAAAATGCATTTCATTTAGTAATACAATTTTTTTTTTCATTTCTGCACGCAACTTCGCATTGTGCCCAAGGGCTATTCTCAATAAATATTTCTTTTTCGCATATAAAATATCCCGATCTTTCGGCTTGTCGGAAGTCTCGCTAATTCACGTATCCACTTTGCATTCCCGATTAGAAATGCAATTGACGCAGGCATGAATGCAACGAGTTGATACTTACGGCATGTAAACGTTAAAAAGAGTTCAACTAAGTTAACTAACCATTAAACGACAGCATAGCCAATGGCGTAGATGCTCCGTCGGTAAAGGCGTTCCTAATGGTAAATACGTATAAATCGGTAACCTCGAGAACATCACAATCGTATCGTAATTTACAGAAACAGACATTTACGGCGAGTCCATTAAATGTCTCATAGTACATATACGCCTATACATAATACACAGGAAAAAAAAGAGAAAAAAAAGTTCTACAGACAAGTTAATTTACAGAAAAAAAAAAGTAGGAGAGGGAGACGCGCCTTAAAATAAAACTTATTAATGGTATCTCAATGAAATCGTACGCGATGACAATTATCCTTAGGATGATCTAATAATTTTTACCTATATATATATATGTAAATTTAAAAAAAATTAAATTCACTCCTTCCTATCCCTTACAATCGAGATAGCCGAACCGATCTTTGTCACGCTGAACTTTCAGTGCTTGAAATCTGCACATGGGTCGACATAACCTTTCACGTAAGGATCACCTATATGCAATCGAATGACATAAAAGCTCGATGGAACTTTTTTTTTCTTTTCAAACGCAACGAGCAGCATGCACTTTCTTTCGCTAACGAATCCGTTTCTTATTGCATATGGCGCACGGTGAAATCGATTATGAGAGAACTGTCACCGTTTCTGATAGGTGGTACCGTCTTGACCGGTGGCTCGATGACTGTGTCTATATATATGTATACCGTCGGTGGGCTTCCATCTCCTTTTTATCAATTTCTTTTTCTACCGGCTCATTCTCCGCTTTTCTTCTCCATTCGAATCCTTATTGCTCCTTTAATTTTTCTTTATCTACTTTGTCATTTCAGATATAACGCAGCGCATCGAACTTTCGCTACGGGTGGATCCTGTTTCGTGGTTCCCATATACGTATATAATATACATGAGAATTTGTCAAAATAATACATATAGACATAGACATAACGCGTTGCTGTTAAATCAGTAAATAAGAATAAAAATTATTTTTTGAATTTTTTTTTTCGAAAATTCTATTTTCTTAATACGACAGAAGTTTCTTTATATTTTTCCGTGGATTTCATTTTTTTTTTTTTAAAGCGAGTAAAAAGGGAGGAATACAAAAATGGATCTCTCATTACTGCGAGGCGTCCTTTAAGGACCTGAGAATATTTTTGAGAGTCTCAATAATTCCCAGGATAATGGAGTTATCAGGAACTAACACCGACCGGCTCTTCCGGCTTTTTTTTTCGGATCGACCTGTAGCAATTGTTCGCATCGTGCACCCTATCCCTGTTACGCTCTCCGAATAGCCGCTTTAGGCCAACCTTATTTAATAATTCCGAATACTAATCATCCCTTCGGAAGACTATTCGTCCGCTAGGACAATACGAATTTCTCAATTTGTTTCTATATGTACAGAGTAGAAAAATAGTGTAGACTTATTTAGAAAAAAAATTATCTATCTAAATTGAGCCTCGATACGAAGTCTAGCTACTGTATGTATATATTGTAACGTATTTTTTCTTATCTCGACACCGATAGCCAAAAATCCGAGAACGAACTATTTTCGAGAACCAACCTACGTTACCTTCGGCCGTCCACCCTTCGCTCATGCATCGGCAAGCCAGGCGGGCGCCAGCCAATTCTTTTTTCATCGGGAACTGGGAGTTGGGCTGGAACAGGCCCAACTCCACCAAAACGAGAGCTCTGACGGAATCTATTAGAAGAGGCGATAACTTAACGGATCCTGTAGATTTTTGGGGACGCGTAAAATCAGCAAATGCAACTGGATGCACGAACGGGAGCGGACGGTTACGGGAATGCACGGCCGCTCAGGCTGCTAGGTTGAGGTAGACAGAGTCGGAGTAAGAGTCAGGCAAATAATGCGAGAGACAGAGAGCAATTGATCGAGAACTTAACAGAACGAATCGGAAGTATCAAATCGAAATCCCTTCACCAATTAATAAATTGGGAGTGCTCACCGGAGCTGGTGCAGCTAATCCCTGAAGGCCGAGAACTGTATCCAGAGGACACTGGGGTAGGTACTGCACTACACGTTCGGAACACTCACAGAAAATTCATAGAATTTTCTGGAATACGCGAGAGCAACACGAGAACTACACGAGCGAGAACTTGCAATACCGTATCGAAACGCGGCTAGAAAAACTATAAACAGACAGCACGGGAGCGCGAGCAAGTTCGTGACACCTCGGTCGGTGCCCCGAGACAGACTGCTTTGACAAAATTGCCAAATTCGAGAACTAATAATTCTGATAATCTGATTGGTCGAGATCCTTATAGCCGATAACTCTTCCCTTTCCCTCGAGTCGTCCCTTTAAACCAAATCGAGAGCGTTCCTTAGCGAATCCCCACGGCTGATTCGAGCACCTCGACCTTAACTAAACCACAACGAAATCTTCCGAGAGCATTGGCCTAACTGTACGAATCAACCCGAGAGCGCAGCTTCTGAGCAGGGTGGCGACCGGAAGGGAACCAGAAATCGGGAACGTTATCTGTATCGGTAGTCGGAGTCGCCTGTGACCGTGAATCGAAAAATGACGTCACAATATATATACAATATATAATATATATATATATATACATCGGACAATATATATTACCTGCATCTTACTTGGCGTTGACGTATACATATATATTTTTATATATTATTCTATTGTCTCTATATGCATAAGAATATATACACTCGTCAGAACGATCAAAAGATATATATATACGTTTCATTTACATATGTAGAAGGTAACATTTTGTTTACACGTACGCGTACACATGTGGGTCCAGCCGTATGAAAAATCCTGCCAAAGTTAAAATGGTCCATAACGAATATATCTCAATGGGCCTAGAGCATAGTCACACGCGCAGATAATCTCTCGGTTAGTCAGTCCAAATCCGGTAAAGTGGAACAAAGCATACTAAAAAAAAAAAAAAAATAACAAAGAGATAAAAGAATGACGAGCGACAAAAAAAGAAGAAGAAGTCAACGTGAAAAATGTCGTCCTTGCGAAACAAGATACATTTGCGAGCTGGTTCGCTCTAATTTCGCAAAAGTATTTATCCGCAAAACTGTGCACGTACGTCGTTGTCAAAAAAAAAAAAAAAAGAAGAAAAGAAAAAGGTCACATATGAGAAGAGACAAGTCATGTCCATATATAACATAGGCATTGTTTGTTCTATCGAATAATTTCAACAGCCCAAAATGTGTCTAGTCAGCGACAGGCATTTTCTACTGCAAAGTTTGGGCTCTACTCGCGTCCTACATATACGTGGATCCACACACGATATCCTGGCAGGATTTAATGAGCAAAGGACTTTTCGGTCCTGGACCTTGAGTGAACCGTGATGAGCTTAGAATCGGGTAATCTTTAATGGAAAGGTGAAGGAATCTATCGTGTGAGTATAATTGAGATCAATCGCATCGCGGGACCGGATGCTGCTCTCATCTCGAGATGAGCGTGGCTGAGCGTATAGAGCAATGGTGTACCATCTTTATTGCGTTTCACTTTCGTGACGAGTCGCTGCCGTTGCTGCCGATTCCAGTGCATGATGTTGCTGGTGTATCTGGTGAGTGTTTCAGAGATCTCGTTGCTGCTGGCTGTACCAGTCTGATCTGGGCGTGGCGAGTGTAACGAGAGCCTGAGGCCATTTCCAACTGGCAGAATACGTACAGTGAGAGATCCTCGGTATGATGATGATGATGATGATGATGATGACGACGACGATGATCATCATCATGGTACAGTTCTTAGTGGCTTAGTCATGTACAGGATTGGCGGAGTAGCTGGATCGATAGGATCCTTGGCTGGCACCTGCTTGAGTAGGACGTTTTCACGCGTGCTGGATCCAAGGTGCGCTCTCGTGTTAGAGATCAGATACACACCTTGCTGAATGATCATCGGCATGAAGGTCTTGGTTGTCTTATCTTGGTAAATAGGTCGGTTTTTTTTTCAGTTTTTTTTTTTTTTTTTTTTTTTTTTTTTTTTTTTTTTTTTTTTTTTTTTTTTTCATTTTTCATCATCCTCTTCATCTTCTACCCAGGCGTATAGAGTGGCTCTGTCTACGGAGTGGGAACGAAATGGCTCTATCGATTTCTAATTATTTTTATCACTGCACTGAACTCCTGGGGATCCTGTTCCGAGAGAAGGTACCTTGGTCAATGCGGGTACCGGTACAGACCGGGCTTTAAATTCACTTTCTAGGTCGTAAAATCGGGATCTGCGCTGTTTTCCTACTGGAACGAATTACCCGTCCAGCGCTGCGTTGCATTTTATTTCCTTGAATTTTTCCACCTTTTTTTTTATCTCCATCGTTCTCTCGCCTATACTTTTCCACGTCTCGCAATCGTTTCGCCTGTACGTCGTTCGATCCTGGTACAGAACGAGATTCGAAGCGCGAGATAAAAAAAATGAGAGAATGACTGATCGCTGATTACGACAGAGATGTTTGTTCCGTTCATAGGAAGGACATAACCAAAGTCGTTAGGAAAAGAGTGAAATGAAGTAGCGAGAAAAATTGTGCTTCCTTCCTGGAGATAAAGTCGATCCACCGTATAATTTTATCACTGTTACTTATTGGGATGCTGTGCCAGTATCCAGCCAGCTCCCGGCACTCCGGATTCTTCGTTTTTGTTATCTCGGCGCACGGTGGTGTGCCCCGGTATGAAATGATAGGCCGTTAGTCAGTACTGGAGATGATGTTTCACGCTCTCTGCAAACGGTCCAGAATCTTGTCCCTGGGCACCTTTCACCAAGGAATCGTAGCTGGTCCGCCGTCTATGGAGCACCTTGGGATTCACCTTCACTTCCTTGGGCAGGGTACCTCGGTACGGTGTGTGTCTGTATCGCCTTGAAAGACGGGACGAGCGACGCCCAGGCGTCGGGCACGTCGTCCTCGTGGCTCAGGTGTTGTTACCTGGTGACAGGGGCGGCGAATTCGCGTCCCTTTGTTCCTCGTGAACGCTCTCGGCTCTGCTGGCGCTGCTGCTCGACCTCGAGCTCAGGTTGTCCCGGTCGCTGAAGTAGGACGAGTCGCCGCGCTTCTCCTCCAACTGCAATTGCTGCTTGTCCGTCTTGAAGTCGTCGCTGGTCGGTCCGAGGAGACCAGGAAAATAGGGAATCCCCTGGCGCTGAGAGGTGATCTTACCCATGAAGCTGCGGATCTCCTCGAAGTAAGAGTCATCGGCTCTGGGTAGCTGACTGTGATACCTGGTGCGAGCTTCGTCCAGTATCGTTGGACCATCCGCGTCGTGCTTCTTGAGATGACGATCGAGATTAGTCTGTTGACCGAAGCATCGCTCGCACAACGGGCACTTGAACGGCTTCTCTTTGTTATGTATATTCCTGACGTGACGCTGAAGATTGCTGGAGATGCTGAAGGACCTCTCGCAGTATTTGCACTTGTAAGGTTGCTCGCCGGTATGGGTCCTGAGGTGCCGCGTAAGGTTGGCCGACCTCGGGAAGACCTTTCCACAGAACTTGCACGAGTAACGATCCTTGGGCTTCAACCCGGCCGTGACCGTGATCGAGTAAGGCGGCAGACTCGAGGGTGGCTGCTGCGGCTGTTGCTGATTAGGAAGAGGAGTGGGTACCCTGCTAGGTGGTGCCTGAGTGGTCGTTGCTGATGAGAATCTATTAGGTGGCAGAGGCACCATCGTGGGCAGTGCTCTCACCTGGATCTTAGGTAGGTCGGGAACGGGATTGTGCTGATGGGAGCGGTACATCGCTTCCAGCACAAGAGGATGGACCGCGTGATGCTGCGGGAACAGAACCGTACGATAAGATAGACTCAAGTTGTTCTGATTGAGCATCTCGATCTCGTTCTGATTCTCGTCCCTAAGTCGTTCCTTCTTACGATCGACGCGCAGATCCAACGGCTCGCAGTCTAGATCATGATGATGAGGTGGTCGCGCCGCCGGACTCATGTGTGGCTGCTGGTTCATCAGCATTGGACTAGCACGACTATGGGCGTGACTCAAGTCGTACGGTAGCTCCTCGACATCCGGTACTCTCACGCTCAGGGGATATATGCTCGCCTGTTTCGGGCTTATGTGTCCAGGCATCTTTCTTGGACTGGAGTCCTTCTCCCGCATGGCTGAAGGATAATCAGGATCGTGATGCAACGGGGACGGTGCGCTTGCTCCAAGATATGCGCTCATCACACTGCAGCTTCTGTCAGGTATGTCGTTGCTCCTTGGATGACCGCACGGTGACCTGGAAGCAACGTACGCAATTCACAGTGAGTAAATGACAGCTAAGATGGAAACGGAAACGGATGGCTTTAATTAAAATCGAGTCTGTACATATGGCCTACGGGATGGGATTGCGCCAGTTTTCTAACGAGACGACGAAAAGTGTATAACCGTAACACGCCAGGCCCTTGCTTCCTTTTAACCAGGTTCGTGACCACGACTTTCCATTCCTCGAAACATTAATGGACGTCAATCCACTATACTTCGCACGGACTCTGATGGAAAGTCCATACCGGGATATCCTACCGCGTTACAGGGTTGTTAGGGTTCGCTGCGCCGTTGGGAGACACACGTGAAAGCCTTATGACAGACGGTGCTGATCTCATTCGGAATTCTTTTACATGAAAGTGATAGATGCTAGAGAGATGATCTCTCGCTCTTGCTGAACAAGATGGATTCACTGTGCGATTTCTTGATGGTACCTCGCGTGGTGTCGTGCGTGTACGTAGATCGAAATTCTATATAGACTCGAGGATGCCTTTGTATTACGGTATACTCGTAGCGAGCTGGACTGGTCATGTATTTCTAGGATTAACGATGCGTACCAAACGGTGTTAATGAAATCTTGAGGCGAAATAAGATGAAAAATAATTTCAAAAAAATTATATACCCTAACATTAATGCTCGATATTCGTCAAGTTGTAAATAGCTAATTTAACGTTTCATTATTCTACCTATGAATTCACGTTAAATTATGAAGATCGTCGACCGGTATTTCCTGCTCGGTATCATCGTTAACTTATCGAGCTAGTAAATCTTGGGATTTGGTCGGACGAAGTGGGGAGGTCGGGAGGCTGGGGGAATTAAAAAAAAATCTCATAAATTCCAAATACAAAACTGGTTCGTTATATCAATTAACGATCTTGAAACTCTTGGCAATGAAGAATTTCTCAAATTTGACTTAACGATACCGGTTTCGTATTCGTCGAATGAATCTATAGCAAAATCGGTGCCGGCTCTTTGGTAATAATTAATGGTGACACTTATTATAAATTTTAGGATTAAAATATTTTATCATTGTATATATAATTTATATATGAAATACGTATAATACAGGGGGTTTCATTTGCAATCATTCGATTATTTCGTTCGTATCGAGCGAGAGTTCCTGTATGCATTTTACATCTGGATATATATATATATATATATACACATCCAGTATTAAGGTCTCGAGTCTTATCCCAGCGTTGATGTCTCTATACGAGTCTTGTACCAAGTACGAAATTTCACATGGCAACACCATCATTTTCACCAGGCAATGATAATTACCGTAAAGAGCGGTTATTTCGAGCACGCGAGGATATCAGAATTCTGAAAAAGTGTCGATTATCAAAGTTGCACGTATAGGTATACAAGACGTGGGTAAGGTACCCTCAATTTCGTCGAACGTCTTATTGCGGTGAACGGTTTCGGGGCGTTAACAAGAAAAGAGTTTGGGATGAAAAAGAAGACAGAGAAAAAAGTAGATTACAAGAAAATTGAGGTATCCAGTCCGTTCCAGCTGTTTCGGTAGCTTCCATATACATATATATAAGCCTGTGGTATGTATGTACCTATTAGTCAATAGATACAGTATATATATATATAAGCCCTTTAGTCAAATGAAAAAAATCTTGACTCTCAGCATCCGTCTTCTTTATGGACCAATCCCTGAATGGTCTTAACAGTCTTGTAGTTCAATAGTCTCCTAGTCCTAGTACCGTTGCTCGTGCTCCAGTTAGACGCCTCATCCTTTTCACCCAGTCGCCAGATAAGTAGGTACCTACCTATTTCCTTACAGACTCGTCCGCCGAACGAAAGAGAAATTGACTAGCGATGATTGCCAGGAAAAAAAAGGAGGTGTTCGCTTCGCCAGGAAGTAGTAGATAGGAGATGGGAGGAGGTAAGAAAAAAAAGTTATAGAGGAAAAGAAAAACCATAAGGACTGAAAAAAAAAAGATCAAGAAATCCAGATGCTGTGGTCCATGAGGTGCTCGGACTCGCGTAAAAACTGGTACCCGGACAATAGTGAAATGCTAATAATTACCAGTATTCGACGTATGTACTAATACCATTGAGCGAAGGTACATTAGTGGCTTATGTACCTGGTACATAGGTGAAGCTAAAAGTTCCTTATTTACTAATTGACTTTCGGATGATTTCATCTGGTAACGTAAGTCTCCCGCTGCAATTGCCAGTAATAATTTCTTGGATTGTAACAGCCGTTAACATCCATTTGGTGAAAGTAGTAGGAAAAAAAAGTTCGCTACATTGCGAATATTACATGGTAATTGTATGTGCATACTATGTATATATATATAGCTAGCTATGTATATTATCAGCTAGGGTTGATAAAAGGTATAAAATAAATAATAAATATATTTCTTTGGGAGTGCGTTGCAGGTAGGATAAAATTCCAAGACTTCTAGAACGAACGTCTTGGGTGGTCCAGTAGGAACGACAGAAGAAGCAGCATCCAATGAAAAACGGTAAAGTCCCACGTGGACTGAAGAGGATCTGCCACGAGATGCCAAACTTAATTGTATGCAGCAAAAAGATTGGAGTCGATTCTGACGGATCCAAGAAGATGAGATGCCCCGTTACGTGAATCTTGGATAAAGAGAGGATACCAAGATTCTATATGGTATCTCCTCTCTTCTCCCTTTTGATAGAGACGCGGAATGGAGTCACGGCGCGTGATCCAGTTTTCGGTTTATAGAAAGTTGGGATGAGCCGGGCGTGGTTTTGTACCTCGTCCTTGCCAGTATGATTTCTCTCTCGGCATTCACCTACTTGCTGTACCCTATACTCTTGTAGTATCTGTGTATATATATATATATATATATATATATATATACTGATACCGGTAACCATACGTATGCTCTTCGTGCACAAGAACCGTTCGCCACTTGTTACCACAAAGAGTTCGCCGTCTTGTCAACCCGAAACAAGATTTCAATCGTGTCTTCATGCTCCCCGTACTCTTTTCTTTGCTGGTGCAATTTCTTCTTGGCCACCAAACCGTGTCCTACCGTGACACCCGAGGCTATAAAAGTGATAGTACCTAACGATCTTGAAAAGGGGGTCGTCGTCATTCAAGTTATTACAAAAAGAGGTATACCGGTGTATAGAGGGTCCCTGAGGTTGTTTGGTTGGGGATAGTCTCTTTACCTGATGATATTTGCTGGAGGAATGCATTAGAGTAGATAAAGGCGTATCTTCGTGTATGCTTATAATGATATTGTTTTTATATATATATATATATATATATATATATATATATATTTGTATATGTTGAGTCCAGTGAAGTATACGTAGTATACGGTAGCTACTTGGCGCTCGATCATCATTTATATTCCTCAGGGGCCGTTTACAAGAAGGCGGCCGAGCCCCGAGAATTAACTTGCTGACATTGTAGGTGGATGTGTGCATCGGTGGTAATCTGACGATTATTATTTATGATTCGCCTCGACGTATAAGGCTAGATGTCGCCTGTCAGCGACGCGTATTTCGACCCACACGAAATCGCTCTCGCATCGGTACTAGACAGTAGGCACGTAACCTTGCCTCATATACATACAAATATCCATCTTAAAAATCCAGTTTTGCTGAGGGAAAAATCTAGATGATTTGCATCTTTTTTTTTATATCTTCTTATCGGCTCGTCAATCTCGCTGAGATTGGCGTTTGAATTTTTTGGAGAAATTCCCGCGCTTTTTCATTTGAATTAAATTGCATGGTACCGCCGGTGTCACTGTGTAAATATTGTTTCTTTGTTATTTTTATTCTTCACTTCCCTTTTTTTTTCTTTGGAAATTTATTCACTGAAAATCTGGACAGCTGCAAATCGGAGACGTTTCTTTGTTCTGTATTTGTACATGTATATCTAGTGGATAGAACTTTCATCGGTGATTCTCAACGAACGATATATATATATACTTAGACGAATCGATTTCAATGCGAGAACAGTTGAATGAATTTAAATACAAAAATTGAGGCTAACCGAGAAAGGATACTCTGTCGGTAAAGTCGACGTCCTGCCTCTTCGAGTTCGAATCGTCGATATTTTCATTCAATGGAATCGTAACACTTCCTGTTATTCCAATACGGTATCCCGACTGTTACGTTGTCCATTATATATACATATACAATGTCCATCGCAGGTACAAATTCTGCTCTCCCCGAGTGACTTTCAAAATAGTCAGACAGTAGATGATGTTTCTTTCACAGCCACCTGGACCAGATGAAACATTCACGAGAGTTACCAGGGAAGTCAGAGGTATATCCCTCAGGCAGGATTCACTTGATCCTGGTGCTAATTTCACGTGCGAGATCATTACGTTATTTACGAATGCTTAAGGATTGGACTCTGTCGGTAAGTCAGTTTCACTAAAGTGTTGCCAATTGATTAAACGCACAATTTCCGGTCGACACTTTTACCCATAAGCGGTCCTAACACGATTGGCTATAGGTCGTGGCGAGAGATCGATCGGCATAATCTAAGAATTTTAAGACCTCGGGTCTATAGTACCCAAGATCTGAGGTATCCATCATAGTACTGTCAAGCTTGTTTTTCTCGTGGTAAGCAGATAATGCAGTTTACGTTATAAAAATAAATCGAAAAATATTATTGCACATGGTCATCGATCCGTGCGTGTGGATAATGATGATCAATTCGATCGCGTAAAATCGGCGAAAGCGCGTGTAAAATTTGCAGGGGAAAAGGTCAAAGGGATGCAGAACGTTGCGAGCGATGGACCAAAACCACGATGGAATTGCATAAGGCGCCTCTACCTATAATTCTATCGGCGTTACAGTTAGATCTCTTGGTAGACAGGTTGAGCAACTGTACGGGAATAGTAGCGAGTATGCCAACCGTCGTTGACCAAGCGAAACTAAAACCTGACCCAAAGCTTTTATTTCATTTTCCATTTAATCTATTACGGACTGTGGCCATTCAGGTTCCTTTGATCATGTACAAATTTACCGCTGAGAAAGAGAAGAGTCTGTTCTCCTCGTAAAACATTGGCAGATTGGTAAAACGACTTAACGATCCAGCGCGGAATTGATTAAGGAAAAAAGAAAGTTATGAAAAACAGGAAAAATTTGGTTTCCGAGGAAAGTTCGCGGCACCGGCTATTAGCGCGAGTTGATCTCAGCTCTATAAATACATAAAAGAACGATCGGATTCTAAATAAGGAATAGATTTTCATGAATTTTCCAACGGTCCGGTTGTTGCCCAGCCGAGTGGCCTGAATCTGCCTGAATCTCAATGCTGCCAACCACATTGTCCACGAGATATCCGACGTTTGTCCTGTACCGATTCTTAAGAACCAACTGTTCCGTGTGTACCGGCCGAGTTCGTTCGGCTTCTTTTGTCACCTCTGAGAATCTTTTCGCGGCGGTTATACCATCGACGGGTCGGTTCGCGTCCCGGTGATTGTGGATCGTCGAGAAACCGATCTCTGTCCGGGGTTCGAGCCGCTCATGAAATATTCACGTGCGTACCACGAAATCATCGTTTGTTAGTCAACGCAATCTCTCTTATTGTAATCCCTGGCCCATTTCTTCACAGCACGGAGAAGTCCGCTTTATTTGGCCGAGGATACCGATGTTTACCGATCTGATCGCACGAGCGAATAATCAGACGAGGATACTCGTAACAATCGAGCTGGGAGGAGGAAGACGGTCGATGGGAGTTTCACGGAAGAGACAAATACCGATCGATCGGTTCGATCGATCGGATCGGTTACTCGTTCCTTCTTCTTTTTTCTCATTATCTCTGATTTCTCTTTTGTGCGTACCGACGTACGATCGCTATGTAATTTATATGGATGTTACCGAACCAAGGACGTTTTTATACTGCGGTTCGCGAAGCGCTTACCGATTCTCCATTTTTACACTCGAATGATCGTCAGTGACGTTTCTGCTTTTGTCATTGCGCTAACTTTTCTTGATCCTTATACATATATATGTATACATAATATCGGTAGCCTCGATAGAACCACTAAAGAGCTGCGATTCCGTCTGTTTCCTTCAAAAGCAAAATTTCAACACTTACCGATCTCAATGAAAAGGAACAGGTTGTCAACTAGCAAAGCACGTGGAACCCGGGTTCTCTTGTAATCATAGAAAAATACTGTTAACGATCTCTCGAAATCGATGATAATTTCATAACGATCTCTTTGACATCCATAAAGCTCTGTTTACACGCGTATAAACTTAACGTCAGAGTTCCGACCAATCTTTTATTTAAACGTCGTTTGAATATTGTTCCCATTAATTAACACCATTTACCGATATGCCAGTGCAATGTAAGAGAAACGGGTCTATTAAATGTATATCACTAATCTCTGGCAATTAATCAATATGCTCGTTAAAGATATTGCTGAACGCGGTTCTAATGCATTTATTAAAATTGCATATTAACCGGTGACAATTGACGTTCCAAAGTACCATAGTGCGATGCGACGATTCTGTGCGACACGCGTGTATACGTGTATCATCGTGTAGTACACGCGTCACTTTATTTGTCGCTGCGAATGAAATTCCATAAAAATGAATTTCTACGTAAAACATATATCTCTTTTATTACGACAAGTCTCTTTTTTTTTCGTTATCGATAAAAGAAAATATGACAAGAAGATCTGTTGGCTCGTGCATATAACTAGATCCGGGCGTACGAATGTGTTTACCGAACTATAGAACATGCATCGGCATCGTGACACCTCCGCGCATGCGCCAACAGTCGCGTTAAGTTTCAATGTTATTTTCATTCTTACATCACGAATGTAGGCTGCGGCCTCAAATTTACTCTCTGCCGTGCATTGCTGATTTTTGACGGATCGCTGCTGATGGCTAGACTAGATTTTTTTGCCAGAAGCAAGGGCGGCACCGGACACAGGCGGTCGGCATTGGCAGACGAGAATAAAAAAGGAATGACGGACTAGTGATTGGTCGACACTTTCCATCTCTTGGATCGGAGGACGTGATTTGCTATTTTGACGCGTATCTTTTTTTTTTTTTTTTTTTTTTTTCTT